AGGCTCTTACCCTTACTGCTTACTTAGCCTGAAATAGTGAGTAGTGAATCAGTGCCGTCATGCAGGAAGGTGGGACTGCAAGGAAACGTGTATCTTCACTACCAGTCTCAGACAAGTGATGAGGGTGCTGAGGCCCTGGCACAGGGTGCCCAGAGAAGCTGTGGCTGCCCCATCCCTGGCAGTGTTCAAGGCCAGGCTGGATGGGGCTTGGAGCAACCTGGTCTAGTGGAAGGTGTCCCTGCCCATGGCAGGGGATTGCAACTGGATGGTCTTAAGGTCACTTCTCCACCCAAATCACCATCTGATTTGACAATTCTATGTAGACTCCTTGACAGTATCGTTTTTTTCTTCTTTTGTTAATCAGAACCAATTTTCCAATTTCCTTTCTGAATTTGTTCTTGATTCACTCATCATGCCTCTTCGATTTTGTATCAGTATTATTTCTAACTCCCATTCCTAATTCTTTCCTTCATATGCGCTTTCAAATCCATTTATAAATAGTCATGATAATGGTGATGTCACCAACAAAACTGTATGTTTGAAAAATGGAACTGGGGCAGCCCACATCTTCTGGCAATGAATAGGAACTGTTGACTGACTGTGACTGCTTCTGGAATGTACATTTTTTGGCTGGTACTGCTGAAACACTCAAACCATCTCATAACAGATCTCTTGCAAGTTCTAAGTGAGAAGATGATATAAATGGGGCCAGAATTAGCATTTCAGAGACCTGGGCTTTCTTAGTACGCTCAGTGTAGTATCTGCGCTAGCATTTTTGAGCAGAACTAGAGTGTGTTTTGACATGAGTTTCCTGACCATCCCTCCTCATTCTGCTTTTGCTTCCCACTATGGGGAAGTCTTGGACCACACGGGCTTTTCAGGGCAAACTAGAGACGTGCGCTGTATGCATTCTGTCTGCGAATGTGAGTTCAGCTCTACGGCACCAGACTAGAAATGAATGCATAGCAAGGACTTATCCATGTGGGTGTTGTGAATCGCACACAAATGTGGACCTCTAGTCTTCACACATCCCTCCTTACAGCTCCACTCCTCCTGGGCTGTGTTACCTGATAAGCCTTAGATGTCCCACATGACCACAGCAAGTGATTCCAAGGATCTGTCCACATGTTTGACATCTATAAGATGGGACTAACTTGTGTTTTTTCTTGAGGTCATTAGATTTACGAGTGACTTGTGCTGTGTGCTTACAGCAGTGATCACAGTGAGTTTAATAACCTCTTCCTTTTTGTGGCACCAGAAACTTCCTATTGCTGCTAATTAGTAACTAAGCTAAGGAATTAAACAAATGCACTGACAATGAATTTACTGAAATGTTTTGACAAACTAAAACTAATTAAATGGTTTTAATTTATTGACTGTTTTCTGCAACAAAAGGTTTTGTTTTGATCTTTTGCATTACTTTTTAAAATGCCCACAAGGCAAGTTGTTTTTCATTTAAACTTCACATAAATTTTGGATTGATGTAAACAGATTTAAAAATTGTAAGACCTAATTATATAACAGAAAGCTAGATCCAAAGTGTTTGATTTTTAGGTCAAATATGGCATTTTTTTTTTACTTCATCCAGAATATGCATTCTCTAGAGTTTTTCTTTGGGATTTTTCAGGTAAAATTGTAAATATTCTGGTCAGATGAAATTTCTCTGAAGTTTTCAGATCAATCATGAGCATGGGGGGAATCTGTTATTTCCCAAGCTATCCAACAAAACACTGAAAACAGGCAAAATAAGCTGAGAGTGAAATTTCTTCTAAAAGAAAAATCCTCATGTAACCTCAGTATTCAGCACAAGGCTCCTGTGCTTACACTACATCACTGGAGTGCAGCTTTGAATCCTAGAACAGCAGTCTTTGGCGCACTAATGCGTCATTAACGTGTCTGGCTTTGCCTCTGAGCTTGCAGAGCATCTCTGCTTGAGACCATGAGATGTGCATCCTCTGGGAAGGAGGGTTTGCAGCTTAATGAAGTCCTGGCTTGGGTGAGTGCCTGTCCTTAGGGAGCAGTCACCATAAAAAAACAGGTCTCATATGCAGATGTGTGGAATGTATTTGAGCACTTAAAACATCCCTCTTTATGCTGACTTGCGCTCAGTTAACAACATTAATGAAACCTTTTGGAACAGTTTGAAAATACTCCCAAATTAAGCAGTCTTTTTCTTATTTCTTTCTCTGTTGAGAAATCTTATGATTGCAGCTTGAAATGGTTAAATTTAGTAACTCCTTTCTACCCTGCAGCTATTTTCCATCATAGTCAAAAGTTGTGTGATACTCAACTGGTTTCTGGTTCCTGACTAGCTCCAGCAGGGTTCTCTTTGAGATACATCAGAGACCACAGGTCTTCAGCAGAAATTGCAAATGCAAGAATTTAACTTCCTCCAGAGCAACAAAAATCCCTGCTGTCAGAATCTCATTGATTTGTTTCAAGATCATTTATGAAAGCCGCACAGTAAGGATTCTGGACCTTCGTTTGTATGAGCTCACATGCAAGAGCTTATAGAAATAGTCTTGATGCCAGTCTCCGTTAGATATTTGGTATGCACCAGATTCTTTATTTCCTTGTGATTTTTAGACGTCCAATAAGCAAGGTCCTACACCTGGGTCGGAGCAATCCCAGGCACAGCTACAGGTTGGGCAGAGAAGAGATTCAGAGCAGTCCTGCAGAGAAGGACTTGGGGGTGTTGGTTGATGAGAAAATGAACATGAGCGGGCTTCAGTGTGCCCTTGCAGCCCAGAAAGCCAACCGTATCCTGGGCTGCATCAAAAGGAGCGTGACCAGCAGGTCGAAGGAGGTGATCCTGCCCCTCTACTCTGCTCTTGTGAGACCTCACCTGGAGTATTGTGTGCAGTTCTGGTGTCCTCAACATAAGAAGGACATGGAACTGTTGGCACAAGTCCAGAGAAGGGCCACGAGATTGATCAGGGGGCTGGAGCACCTCCCGTATGAAGATAGGCTGAGAAAGTTGGGGCTGTTCAGCCTGGAGAAGAGAAGGCTGCGTGGAGACCTCAGAGCAGCCTTCCAGGATCTGAAGGGGGCGTATAGGGATGCTGGGGAGGGACTCTTCATTAGAGACTGTAGTGATAGGACAAGGGGTAACGGGTTAAAACTGAAACAGGGGAAGTTTAGATTGGATATAAGGAGGAAATTCTTTCCTATAAGGGTGGTGAGGCACTGGAATGGGTTGCCCAGGGAGGTTGTGAATGCTCCATCCCTGGCAGTGTTCAGGACCAGGTTGGATGAGGCCTTGGGTGGCATGGTTTAGTGTGAGGTGTCCCTGCCCATGGCCAGGGGGGTTGGAACTGGATGGTCTTAAGGTCCTTTCCAACCCTAACTATTCTATGATTCTGTGAATGTAGAAAGCTGCCTAGTTCTGGAAACCACAATTCCCCAACCTGCCAACAGGAATGGGCACACTGATTAATTAACTCAAGGTTTGATGCCATAGAGTGTCTGTTCCAATAGAAACAGGCCAGTCACTTCAGATTCCAGAAGGAAAGCAATAATATAATATGTAGCAATATTGAAGAAAGTAGACTAATTTTTGCCTGTGACCCTGTGAAAGCTTTAGTGATGGAGGATGTGAAGTAGGATGGCCTCTGTTTTCAAGGCTTCAATTATTTACAAGTTCAGTGACAGGAACGAAATATTAAGGAATAAATCCACATATGCTAAGAGCACATGAACAAAGCACACTTCTGTTGCAGATATTCCTTTGCTCATTATTTAGTGAAATTCAGGCAATCCCATTGGGGTGAGTTTCCAGTCCTCTGTAGGAAAGGCAGCAAACTGCAGTAGTTCCATTTTGCATGTAGATTTTCCTATAAAACAAAAACGTTAATTCCTCAGCAAACTCAATAACACTGCTTCTAAGAAGAAATAAGTATTTCCCAGGGCAAAGGCTCTACCTTTATGGTCCTGGAGGTGATAGCAGCAGCTCTGATGGGAGCAACCAACCCATAGAGAGCCCCTTCTCCCTCAGAGGCTGACTTCTCCCTCCTGTGGTTGTATTTTGCTGCTGCAGCGGTCTGGCTGCGTGGTCTTCTTGGACCTCATTATTGTGGATCTGGTGTGTTTATGGAGAAGAAACCCCAACCCTTCCCCTGGCACCTTTCCCTTCTGGGTGTCAAAGCACACTGAAGGGTTGTGTAATTTGCTTCGCAGTGTATCTCCCTTTGGGAACATATTATTACATCTAATCTAGCAGCGCGGTGGGTGTTCGGGGTTCATGCTGAGCAGAATGCTTGCATACATTCCCTCGCTGAGATTTCACACTAACATGACAGCCTTTCCAAGAATAGCTCTGGGAACACGGTGGTGGTTTAAAGTTTTGGTTTGGGGGGGTTTTGCTGCTGCTGTTTCAATTTGCAGACTTTTCCCAAATTTTTAAAAGAAAGCATCTCCTGTATCATTACCCGCCGTGAATGAAGAGTGAATGCGTTAGGTCAATACATGGCACTTAAATTCCTGGTATATTGTGCTACAGCTGGCAGTTCAGAAAACTTCAATGTAGGTTTTCCTATTAGAGAGGATTTAATAGCAGTTTCTCAGTGTAATCACCAGTATCTGATATCACTAAATCCACGGAGGGTAAATCTACAGTGAGTACCATCTCACTGCAGCCCTTTTCAAACTGTCTCTATTAAAAATGTGGAACCTGAGCATCAACTTTTGTCCAAGGACATGGAAAATGCTTATTTCCTTGGTCTTCCCAAAGCAACTCTGAGGATCTTCCTCCCGAGCATGTGGCCCCTCTATAGGAGTTGGAAACTCACTTTAGCAGGCTTGACTCCCAGAGCACGTTTTCTTTTTAGTGATATAATTAGACTTTTGTCCTATAAATGGAAAAACCTGGAAATGCATTTAAAAACCTCTTGAAAGCATTGTGTCAATCTTTACCAGTGCACGCACAGAGAAATCCCAAAGTGAATGTGCATCTATTACAGGGCTGGAAATAAACTCATCTATTTTTCTGCATTTCCCTCTAGGTGGAATGCCACTTTGAGAGGGAGGAGAAAGAGCAACAAAATGACATATTTGCAGCAGTATGTGACAGAAGATACATCAAGATGAATGCCTGCCTTTTTGTGGTGAGCGAATCTCTTCTGTCAGACTCCTGTAAGGGTTTGCTCATGTGTGCAGCACTGTCTCTGACTTCTCACCTGGTATTAAATGCATCCTAATTCTGTCAGCTGCAGCTGTATGGGCAGTGGAAATGAAATCTGGGGATCTTTTGCATAGCACAAGAGCAGCTACAGCCTGAGTCACAGGCAGTGGTCTGACTCAGCCTGGTTACAGCTATTTTCTTTGCTGAGCAGGTTTCAGATGCTGTTGACATGCAAGAGGCAGCAGATGCTGAGCCCTTGCAGATGGGATAAATTCAGTATCACCTGCCTGTGCTGGGGTCCCTCCAATGGGTTAGCAGGGCTGGCTGTGGGTTAGGGCCATGTGAGCATCCCCTGAGTTCCCTTTTCACCCTTAGCCTCATAGTCCTTTGTCCTCCTGCTCACATCCCCAGGAGACGCCCGGGGAGCATCTTGGTGCTGTTCCGCAGGTGGGACCACAAAGCTTCCCTTGCACACCCCATCCTCTCTATCGAGTTATGTCCCATGGGTGGGCAGCAGGGAAACAGCACGGGCAAGGTCACAGGTGCTGGGGTGAAAGGAGCTGGCCTCTCCATGCCAGCACTGTTGCATTTTAACCATACTTTTTGAGATAAACTTTCTGCTGTTGTCCTTAGGGAGGGAGTGTTTCCTGATATAGGCGTGATGTAATGTTCCTTTTTTCACTTCGGGAAGAAAACAGGCATTGCAGTCTGTAGCTCAGTAATGTCTGTGCAGTTAGATAACTCACTGCAGCTGCGTGTGGGAGCACACTACAATGTCAGTCCTGGAGTAACTCATTTTCCAAGCACAGCAGCACTGGGGAGGAAACTCCCTGGCACTGGGCTGACCTTGGATAGGGGAAGCAGCCAAGAGACAGTGCCCTGCTGGAGGCTGCTTTGCCTGCTGTTTGCCATCTGGGAGTGATAGCTGATCCAGGCAAAGCCTCTCCCCAAATCATGCTTAGAGCTGAGCATCATGGCCCTGGCTCCCTGCGATGCCTTGTCTCACATAGCTCATTCCTCTTGCCTTTGGCTCCTGAGCCAGAAGCTGCAGCAGGAGGGAGCTGCTGTCCCTCTGTGGGGCATTTCAGACGTTTCCCAAGGATGAAGGAGGTGCATCACAGTTCCCCTTTCCACCTCTGTGCAAGCCTGAGGTGCACAAGACATGGACTCGAAACAACACGCCTATGGGCAAGCTTGCCCTGTCCTCTGGCCCCACCAGATCCCACTGGCAAGAGCCAGCAAGCAGCAGGGACAGCCCACTAACAGGTCCCCTGCTGCGGATGCTTAGCTCTTGCTCTCCGCCTGCAGGGATAACCGGGGGGGGGGGGGGGGGGGGGGAGAAAAAAATGTGCAAAGAGCTAGGGAATGTGAAGAAAGGGGAAATGTATGTCCATGGCAATTGCCAGCAACTACCATTTCTGCTTCCTGGAGTGGCTGCTCGGTGCTGGAAGCTTGGCTGTGCTGTCTACAGAGCACGGGGCGCATGCATCCGTCAGCCTGACTCCATGGCCAGAGGCTGTGTTTAGTGGTGGTTTTGTTTTCTGGCAGGGCTTTTAAAGCACAGTAGCTTTCTGTACTCTGTGTTGCTCTTATTAAATGCCAGCCAATGTCCTGTAAATAAGGTGACAGTCAGTTCTCGTAATTACTAACATCTCTACCTTTCTATCTCTATCTAAACCTGGCTCTTAGGGAGGGCTTAGCCTTTGGTTGCAAAGGTCCACCCCAGGTTCACTCTCGGGGATCCTTTGAGCTTGGCCAAGGCTTCTCCTTCTCTTCTGAATCTCTCAAGAAAATATTCCCCACCATCAGCCTCCTGACTAAGCTCAGGCTTCCTGCCTTGGGCCCCCCAGATCTCCCCTCTAAGCTTTTTGTGTGCTTGAGGATATTCCCATGAGAAGTGAAGCACCTTGGCTGGGTCAAAGAAGCGTAACAGGGAGGGAAAGGGCAGGCACAGGAAAGCACTTCATCAAAAGGAGCCTGCCCTGAGAGGTGGTGGAGGAAAAGATGGAAGTGGATTACAGCAGAGAAACATGGTGCAGCTTGGGGAATAAGGAAGGAGGCATGACGAGAAGGAGCTGTAACCATGGCAGAGCCGTGGGCACTGCAAATGCCTGATCCTCATAACTGGCTGGACTGAGTGCTTTCACCTGCTCTGAACAAGTGGATACTTTAGCTTGTAAAATGGTAAACATATAGAATATGTAGGCTTAGGAAAGAAGCAGAGGGTCTACCTCTTTGATCCCCCTCAGAAAGCTAGGGCCAGCCCTTGAATAACTGCCAGGCTCAGCTAGCTTCCACAGAGCCTGTAGATTGTGCTGTTGTGTAGTTAATGGTGCTCTAGCATCATCTTATTTTTGTGTCCTGGCTCTTAACAACTATCCAGAACAATGTAGGAGCAAAGCACAGCACCTTTATTTCCCCAGCTCCATTCTTGCTCCCTTGCTCATCGTACATCCTTGCATGAAAAGCTTCTGCACTAGAACAAAGGACTTGTGTGAAAGCAAGGGGAGGGCAGGAACTCGGTATCTCAAAGGCAGATGGTGTCAGCCTCTTTTCAGTGGTGCCTAGTGACAGGCCATAAACTAAACCACAGTAAGTTCCACCTCAACATGAGGAAGAAGTTCTTCACGTTGAGGGTGGCAGAGCACTGGAGCAGGCTGCCCAGGGGAGTCGTGGACTTTCTTTGGAGCCATCTGAAACCTGCCTTGGTGCATCCCTGTGTAACCTGCTGTAGGTGGCTTTGCCTTGGCAGAGGGGTTGGAATAGATGATCTCCAGAGGTCCCTTCCAACCCTAACCGTTCTGTGATCCTGTGACTCCCCAGCCCACTGTCTGCTCTCTATGCAGCCCCCGCTGTCTGCTTTGCTTTAATGCCCGCGCAGTAGCTGGGACCATATACGCTCAGTTATTCCATGTGCTTTCCTCTGCAGCTCCCTCTGATGGGGCACGCCATCAAAAGCCGGTCTGCGAAGGCACTGAGAGCTTGCTTTCGTTTTGCAGTGCCCTGCCGGGGGAAAGCATGCCTTGAATACACACGTGTGACTGTGCCAGGCTGTGCAGCTCCAACGACAGCCGCAGGGTGAAGGAGAGGCTCGAGTCAGTGCGCGAACACTGCCTTGACTGTTGATTTTGTCATTTCCAGGGAGCAGGATGGGGCCCCGGCGTGCCTGTCGCTGTGCAGACGCGAGGTGAGAGGAGTGTCTGCTGCTAATGGAGACACCCCCCGCCCCCCAGGCAGAGGAAGACTGAGAGAGTGGCAAATGGGATGTTCAGTGCAGACAGGCATCCCGGTGGTAGGAAGGACTTGGTTAGAAAGGGATTGGTTTCATGAAAACTGAAAGAACACACAGGGAAAAACCCAGGAGGTGCTGGGCTGCATCCCCAGAGTCGAGGGAGGGGATTCTTCTCCCTCTGCTGTGCTTTGGTGAGACCCCCACCTTGCAGTCCTGTGCCCAGCTCTGGGGGCAACAACACAAGAGTGATGTGGAGCTGTTGGAGCGAGTCCAGAGGAGGCCATGGAGATGCTCCGAGGGCTGGAGCAGCTCTGCTATGGAGACAGGCTGAGACACCCAACCCTTCCCTTTTGCAGGGCTTTTCTGTTTTTCTCCATGTAGCTAGAACAGACAGGAGCTCAGCTGCTCCTGTAGCCTGTTTGCCTCCATTTTGGGACTTTCAACTCAAAATAGCCTGTCCCAATCCTAGGTAATAGGCAGAGGCCACCTATCTTTCAGGGAAGAGTTTTACCAGCATTTATTCTTTAAAGCAGCATGCTGCTCTGGTGCAATTTTGTGATGCAGAAAATCAGAGCCAAAAGGGCACATAAACAAATGTGTGTTAGGAGTGGCTGGGGGCGATGGGGCAAGCTTGGGTAATTTTTATAGATGAAGGACAAGCATTCCCTGCTCAACATGCAACCCGCTGCAGTGCAGAGGGCCAGCACAAAACCTACACATCATGTCAGCCCCTCTTTAAAGTTCATTTGTTGTGGAAATGGTCCTTGTGATGGTTCTCTGAGCAAGGACGAATATTAGACTTTATGCAGAGCATTGCTTGCAGGAGGCCCAGCTTAGAAAAATTAAACACTGGGTTTCTTTATGAGCCTCCTCAGTGCAATCTTTTCACTCCCCTCGTAAGAATTATTTGTATAGTTTTATTTTAAGTAAGAGAAATTTCATTCTCCCTCTCTTCCCCCTTCCCTCCTTCCTTAACACCGTTTCTCCAGTTTGCCAACACTAAGAAAGGGATAAATCCTTTGAAAGCCCCACTAGGATTCTCTCCTCAGGCAGACGATGCCTTCTCTTGGCTGACTGAAGAACTCGGGACACGGAAGGTTTTGCCACAATAATATCTGGTTTCTGGGTGCAGCCTTGAGGAAATCATTCTATTTCTTTCATATGGCAAAAGCTCCAGGTAAGTGCATCTTGTTTTGCTGGACACTATGCCCCCTCCTCCCACTCTGATTTGTGATTCTCCTCACACCATAGCAGCGAGTGCTTCTCCAGGCTTACCCCTCAAAAGCCCTTTTATTATTACAGTCTGTTGAAAGGGGCAAGGGGGCACTGCTGGGAACTGACCTTTGATAAGTATTGATTAAAATAGGGCATGTGATGATATTGGCTCACACAAACCCATAACTCCTCCCCCAAAGAGTTTTCTAGTCTTAAAGGGATGCTAAAACCTCAAGCCTTCAAAGAAGGTCTCCCTGTGCATGTCCATGAATCCTGGGTACCTAAATCATTAGGTTCCTGTGAAGATCTCTGCCCATGGTCTTCACTATTGTCTACATGCAACTGTTAAATGGAGCTTTGCAGGAGTGAGGGAAGCGTGGAGATTGCAGTAACTCGATGAGCAAAGAGGAAGTGAGCATCAGTGCAAAGAGCCTGGGCTCGCTCACAGCTTCCAGCATCACCGTCTGTGTCTGCCAGGCAAGAGGAAGCCAGACAGAGCAGTGGTGGTGCCTCTCACCTTTTGAAAAAGCAAGGAAGGATCTTTAATTATGAAAGAGTAACCAGGAGCCACTTGGGCTGGGACTCACAGGGGACCTTCACTGCAAGGAGCTAGGTGCATTTGATAATGAATTATTCCTGAAGAGGAATCAAAGTAACGGATTCCGGTAAGGCTGTTTTCCAGGGATTAAGTCAGATCTAATTAGTTGTGTAATTAATTGCCTGATTACCTAACTAGTTAACTGTTAGTGACCTTTTTTAGCTGGTGGTGACAAATGCTTTACAGACTGCAGCTTCAGAACCCTGAGTTCTTAGCAATGAAGATGATTGCTAAGAAGTTTAGCAATGAAGGTGATGCTGCCCCATGATGCTATGTGATACATGGAGGGTTACCTATAGCAACAAGGAGAGAGGCCAAATTGTGATCATGTATGTTGTGATTTGGCTGCCATTCAAGCACCTTTTGAGGTCTTTGAGCAATGATGAGGCTGTTTTGAGTGCAGGTTGCCTGTTTCCTCCCTGATTTCATATGACATCCACAGACAAGCCTCCTCACAGAAGCAGATCTCTTCTGCTGACACTGATGAACATCCAAACCGGACTAGCACCTACAACAGGGCAGTCAAAACGGGAGGTTTCTTTTGAGGATCTGAGAATAAAGAAGCTTGTCTGGTTAGTATGAGCGACATCAAAATCAGGACCAAAGGCACTAATGAGCTGGTGCCTTCATAAACAGTATGGTGTAGGACAGGCACTGAAGCTGAGCATGAAATACAGTGGTGTTAAATGCCTGGGAAGATGTTCTGTAGGCAGAGTGTTGCCATGAGGTAAACAACACCTTGTTGTTTAGAGCACAGACACCTTGAAAGCTTTTTCGGTGACTAATGAGTCAGTTGGGACTCAGGTGGAGTCATGCAAAAAGGTGCCACCGACCATGGGAGGGAGGAAAATGATGCTAATAGTGGTGGTGTGGGCAGCAGTGAAGGAAGAGAGAACAAGTAGTCCTGGAGAAAGGTAATGTTGTGTAGCAGGAGAAGTGGAAGCTGCTGGGAGAACAAAGCCAAACCTTGGTTAATTTGTTGTGGTGGGAAAAGCACTGCCGTGGATAGGCCACCTCTGCTAACCAAGTGCAGCTCAACCCAATTTTTGCCTAGTCCAGACAAGCTAGCTCTCCTAAGGAAGTGTTTCTGTAGTGCAGTAACACAGCCCAGGTAGAGCAAGGGGAAAATACACTGTTTCTGGTGTCCTTGCTAATTTGGTGTCTTGGCACTGCCTCATGCCATGTAGATACAAGCAGAGACCCCACGGTGAAGTGAATCACAGAATCCTTGATATGGGTCCAGGAGCTTGTGGGAGTCATTTAAAGGCTGCCCTAATTTTGCTGTGCTTTTCTAACTTTTGATGGCCCCACTTTATCCAGATTGTGTTTCCTTCCTCCCCCAGAGCACTTAGGGATGCTTTATGACATCTGTAGGACAAGGCAAAGATGCAGCTGGCAATGTAGGAAAGAAAGCTCAGAATCACCTGTGTAAAATTAAGGTATCTTTCCCCCAGCAAAGCCCAGGGAATGTGCAGGGGCAGAATGAGGTGAGGGGTCTGTTTGTTTCACCCTGATTTATTGAAATCAGCTCACTCAAAGAGTCACTATTGCAAAGCAGAATGTTTTAAACTTGGGAAAGGGTCAGTTATCCTCACAGTAGTCACTCAAACAACCGAGGTGGGACACAAACTGGAAGGCAGTGTAAGGAGACGTGCACCCCAGTACACAGAGAGCAATAAGCAGATTCTGACCTTCCAGCTGCTGGTTTCTGAAGGAGTATTTCTAAGGGCCATGAATTCTGTTCATACCTGACTGCAGGTAAAAGCAGAGCACTTCTAAGCATAGGCAGCATGAACCATCGTCATGGAAAGGACCAAACTTGTAAAGCTGAAGCAATGAGGAGGCAAGTATACGGATATCCAAGGGACTTATGTTTGTCCTGATAGCATAGGCAGGAAAAGAAGAGGAAACTGGGAGCATTTAAAGCTAATTTGGCATTTATAGCTCACAAGTAATACACAGAATTGCAATGTAGAGGTGACTGGTGCTGGTGCAGTGTGGCTCCTGGGTGGCCCCTTCTCTGGAGACAGCATATACATGCTGTTTGTATCAGTCTTTTGCTTTTTTTTCTTTAACACAGTTCTTTAGCAATGGAATAAAACCCCATGACTTGAACTTCCTTTTAAGTTTATTTCTCCATAGGATTTTCCCATGCAAATTTCTATTGCTTGTTACCTGGGAGCTATAGAATGATAGAATGTTTAGTGTAAGAGACCTTCAAGCTCATCCAGTTCCAACCCCCTGCCATGGGCAGGGACACCTTCCACTTGACCAGGTTGCTCCAAGCCCCTGCCCTTGAACACTTTCAGCCAGAATAAATAATATATAATGCAGCATTTTAGCTCTGGATATTTGGATGACTCAACAAAAAAGCACATACTGCTCAATCCTGCCCTGCAGTCCTCCACCTACTCAGAAATACAGCACGTTCCCATCTGTGCACTGCTCTCATTGTGATTTTGCTGTTGTTCTATTGTTCCTGTTCTATATTAGTGTGGATACAACTTTGTGCCAGTGTCCAGGCACGTGTAAAACAGACCCAGGTAACACATGGCAAACTTGCCACGAGAGAGAAGAAAGGAAATGCAGCATTTTAGTTACAACAAGGGTAAGTTAAGCACTCACCTGGGATGCTTCCATGTACCTGGAAACATATCCTTGTTTCAAGCAGCATAATTTCTCTTGGAAAACCAATGCTTTGCAAATGGTATTCAATGGACATGGGGGTGGGGGGGAGTTGAGGGGCCAAGGGTCCTCTGCAGTTTCTTAAGGCTTGAAATCCATCCCTGAGTACTTTCATCCCTAATTAAAGGTCACCTACTGGTTTGGGAACAACTGTTAATGAAGAGTTTAATTATCCAGATGACAGCTGTAAAATCCTACTCCTGGGCTTGAATATTTTAAAGCAACAAGGCTCAGATTTTCTAATGTATGCTTATACCCAAGTACTTAGACCAAAAGCTCACTGTGGAGAAGCGTGTGTATGTGTAATTCACATCTGCATACACAATGAGAGATTACACTCTGCCCAGATATTACAGAGGCACATCTGTAAGGAGGTTTGTCTGTGCTTACTTGACAATTTAACCAGACCCACCTTTCTTTTCTGTTCTTTCATTTGGGGAGGGGGAAGAATGGTTAAATTGTTCCTCAAGGATGATTCATTTCACATTACTAACTCTTCTTAACAACAAAGCTGTATAAATTAAATGTAAGATTATCTGCTGTGTCCTCAGTGGAATGATTAGGAGGGAATCTACAGGAAAGAAATGAGGTCAGATGATCTGAAGACTTTCTAAATGGGATGCAAAGCCTCTTCTCGCATTCTTAACAAGCTCAAATGTAGACCTGCCTTTTAATGAGTAAACCCTACTTGGCATATCTGTGCAACCCCCAGAGTAATGCTGTAACGAAAACGGTGCATGGTTACTTCCTCTACTGGGCCAAGTTTTTGTTCTGTTGATGCTTTTGACCAGCTGCTCCTATTACCTTTACCTGTGGTGGCAATTGTTGTGATACGACCTTTAGTCCCACAAGCCGAAGTGGCCCCATTTGTCACTTCCTATCAGGACACCAGATACATGTGTCACGTACGGGTTCTCCACCAGGTGCATGGCTGAAAGAGTGATGCTACTATCAAGATGAAGTAGTTGTTTATGATGTCCTCACTGCCAGCACAGTCTCTTTCTGTCACTCTGTTATTCGTACCATAGGGGCAAAGACATTTGTAACTCAACTGGGCGTTTTCTGGGGGTTTGTGGAGATGAAATACAAGTGCCATATAAGGGTAGGGAGGAAAACCTGAAGGTATTTCAAGGCCAGGCTGGAAAGCTGTGCAACCTAGTCTAGTGGAAGGTGTCCCTGTCTATGGCAAGGGGGTTGGAACTAGATGGTCTTAAGGTCTTTTCCAGCCCAAATTGTTCTTTCTATGATAGGTACTACAGTGTTGTTGACTGTCAGATGCTCTTTGAAGCACGCTAGCAATGGGCTCCAACTTAGAACAACTCTGATTTTTTTTTGTCATGAGTCAGAGCTAGGCTTTGACTCTGTTTCCTTGTTATGGGTGGCCTCTCTCTCCCACACACAATGTGTACACACAGACACACACTTATTTGTTTGAACAGAACACTCAAAAAAACAGAGCTCCAAGCCCTGGCTAGAAAACAGATGGAAAGAAAATTACAGTGCATCATATAAAAAGAGCCATTTATATACATTAAAAAAGGAGAAAAATGCCTATCAAAGTTCTGTCAATGATTTATGCCTTACTTCATAAGAAATGTGAATAATAGAAGAGATTGGCTAAAACAAAGATCAGTGTTGCTAAGTTACCTGTTTAAGAGGTTGCAAACATCCCTTTCTGTGTTTTGTTAACTCTCGAGGAGCATTTTCTTTGCAGAGTCTCATCATTCGAGTTTCATCCGTAGGTCACAGTGACCTGACTGTGGAGGCTGTGCCACATAAACGGAGCTCTCTAGATAAGCAGTAACATTTATTGCATACTTTGTCAGCGTATCTCTGGCCACACACTTGTTCTCCAGGCACTTTGTTTTGATATTGGTTTTATTAAAAGAGATTTCGGAAGGGGAAATGTAAAATAGTTGAAAGATAACACACATAAACACGTTGTTCAGAGCTGAGAAAATCCACACAAGACCATCAGGCTTTCTTTACATTACAGGCATGAATAAAATGTATCTTGCTTTTTCCCCCCTCCTTACACTGCTTTCTTCATCGAAAAAACACTGCTTTAAAAAATTGCTCTCAGTAGACTAGCATCTTGCACAGGGCAAGACACAGGTCCTACAACACCCCTCACAATTTGGAAGATGCTTAAAATTGAAATCCAAAGATGAGTGAAAGCCAAGGAGATCTAAGGACTATAAGAAGGAGGTTTTTATCTTGGTGGTGGAACCACCATCCCTGGAAGTGTTCAAACACTGTATAGACAAAGCCCCCAGTGACATGGTTTAGATAGACAAAGCCCTCAGTGACATGGTTTAGTGCTGGCCTTGGCAGGGCTGGGGGAAATGGTCAGACTTGATACTTTTAAAGGTCTTTTCCAATCTGATTGATTCCATGATTCCATGATCTTGACAGCCACATGGTCAGGGTCCTCCCAGCTTTGGAGCTGGTGCCACAGCCTGAGCTACCTTCAGAGCTCAGGGCAAGATGACATGTGCCTCAAGCATTTCTGTGCTGTCTTTCTGCTAGGGATGAGGCAAAGTGTCCCATTACACATGTTCTACTTTCTCTTTGAGTATGATCCCTTGTCTTTTCTGGAGGAAGAGTTCTGCTCTCACTCTGGCTACAAGACACAACCCTGCAAGGTCGCTGTTCAGGAGTGATTTATTTGTAAAGCATATTCAGCCATGTCCTGATTCTGGGCAATGGTTTTGCATGAAGTAGATGATCTGTACCAAGCTTATGTGCCAGACAGATGTAGCTGTGGGAGAATTTACATGACTGGCTTGTGGGCTATGCCTGTGCTTTCCTGAACTGCCAGCTCTCATCCTACTGCCTTTGCAAAGGGTCAGGGTCTATAAGACTACAAGAATTTGCCCTATTTATCAACAAAAATGGGCTAGTGTTTGCCAAAAAATACCCCTTGGTTCTGGCCCAAAAATAGACTGAAGAGTCTTCTTTTAATACAAGACTATTTGTCAGTTTGGAATATCATCATTCAGACACTACTATTGGGATGGGGTTTAATGGCTGCACACCAGTACACTGTATGTGACATAAAGCATTTGTGAAGAAATGATTCCTCAGAAGAGCTTCCCAGAGATAGATAAACTGTCTTTCCTGTTTTTCATTCTTTGTTCTCCTGGATCCTGGAGGGAGTGTTACTTGTGTTGAGTAATGAAATTTCCCTCTCCAAAACACATTATCTTTGATCTCCCCTGTTTTATGCACTAGGGAGCTGACGCTTCCTTCCCTGTCTAGGACTGAATGAATAATCATCTCCTGTAGTTATTCACATCAGGTCAGATGCAGAAATGTGAAGCTGATGACAGGGGAAGTTATGGACACAAGCAGCAAGAATTGCTACTGAAATGTTAGGACTTGTGGGCAGAAATAGTCAAAGCAAATCCCATTTAACCATGAAGGCTCCACAGATTTATATCTCATGGGGCAAAACCGTGAAGTGTTTGTGAGGTGTGAATGAAGCCCAGACTCCTGGCCTATTTTTTTTCTTTATGGCCATATACCCACACAATCAGCATGAGAAAACCCTACCCAGCCCTCAAGTGTTGGTGTGATTTGGAACGATTAACCCTCAAAAAGGTTGATACTCAGATCATGTAAGAAGTCTATATGTTCATCCAGGGATTATTCAAAAGCCTTATACCATCAGGAAATCTTGATCAAGAGGTATTTTTGTTATTTCAACATATGCAGTGTGTGGTTTCTCTCGGGTCGTTCAATCCAGACCACCCTCTGAATGTGCAAATGGAGGGGTTTGGGGTTTTTAAAAAGGGAAAGGGTAAAAGAACTTTCAGGATTTCACAAAAACTTTCCTTCAGGTTTTCAAAAGCCATATCTACGTCTGTTATCATTTACATAGCCCAGATAATGTAGTGCACTAATACTGCTGTATGGCAAATCTGCCTCAGGTATCACATTAGAGCAGCCCGTTGGCCCATCCTGCATACCCAAGGGGCTCAGCCACACAAAAGTGATTTCAACCCAACTTTAAGAGATCAAGTTGAGAAAGCACCCTGCTTATTATGAAGGATTTCCCCTGCTCTTGTTCTTGCTCTGTCTCACCTTGAAAACAACCCCAACCTGAAAATCCTTGTTACAAACTCGGATGAAATCTGGTTCTCTGAGTCTGCCAAGCTACAGCAACACAAATCCCACCCAAAGTGACACTTCTGTGCAGAGGAAGGCAGGTTCATGCATGCAGACATCAGCTGGAGATGCCTCCTGCCCCTCTGCTGTGGTCAACAGAAGTAAATTAACACAAAACGCACCTACTACTTTCATTTGTACTAAGTCTGTGCTGAAGGAGGGCATTCAGTTGGCCTTCTGTCTCCTGTAACCCCAGGAGATATGATTAATGAAAAGAGCTAACTCTGTATTATCGTTAAAACATGCTTCACAGGCAAAAAAAAACCCTAGTTCTACATATTTTTATCTTTCACTGTAGATAACCACTACTTAATTCTCACTGAGCAGCTAACATCTTCCTAGAATTAAGGGTTGTCTCTGCCTATATGGTGGGAGACACCAGTCTATAATCTCGTTTTGTGGAACAATTCCACAAGAACGCTGCAGGACATACTGAAGTTCTGGTCTTTGCTCAAGATGTTGAAGGTGATGTGTTCGGCTCCTCATGGAACTAAACTAGGGAAGTGGCAATAAATTATTCTTATTAAAGAAAATAGTTTAGAAGCCATGCTAACGTCATTATTCAAATTCACAGTTGAAACTGGTTATCACGCTGCCTCAGACACGAATTCATGCGCTCATTTTAAGTGATTCAGAGGAACCAATGTGTAAGTAGTTCCATCACTGCTTTTTGATGCAGGAGGGCAATGGCCATTTCTCGTGTGGAAATTATGAGCAGATGAGGTCGTCTCTGTTCTGTAAATCTGGGCTTGCATTTCACAGCAACCGAACTTGCTCAATAAAATGAAGAAATCCCTGCGGAAAGTCTTTGTGAAAATGGCATAGAGGAAAGGGTTTGCACAGGAATTGATGGGATAAAACAAAACCAGAAGGATCTTGGATTTGGAGACTGTGATGAGAGGAACCTTGAGTGAGGCTGATATTGCAAAGAAAGATATTGGTGCCATGCAGAGGAAATCTGTGAAGATCAGTATGGCCATGCGCTTGGCAATCTTGGTGTCGCTGTTTGAAGAGACCACATTAGGGTTTCTCACAGTAAAGTAGATGCAGATGTAGCAGGCACATATAATCATAAACGCGAGTACATTCAACACTAAAAGAAATACAACGTAACCCTGAGAAAACAGTGTTTCTATATCCATGGGCAAACAGATGCTGACCTTCATGTAGCTGCTGACTCCAACTATGGGAAGAAGTGCCACTGTGAAAGCAAACAACCAGCCAAAAATCATTACAATCACAGCATGACGAAGTCGAACCTTGCGGTGCAGCTGCATGGCATAGGTGATGGTGTGCCACCTTTCCAGCGTTATCACAGTCAGTGTGTAGACTGAGAGCTCGCTTGCAAACACTGTGAAAAATCCTGCAGCATTGCATCCTGCCCCAGTTTGCCAGTCTATGGCATAGTTGTAGTACTGGCTTTTGGTCTGGATATCTACTGATGCAATAAACAATAGGTAGATACCTGTGCAGAGGTCTGCAAAGGCAAGATTGCACATTAGAAAGCGAGGTACGGTGAGTTTGTATTGGCTGCTTATTAAAATAATGAGGACAACAATGTTCCCAGTGATAGCTAAAATGCTGATAAACCATATCAGAATTCTCAGAGTATTGTAGCCCATGATATCTTCACATGGATTGAAAGCATCAGGTTTAGGTGAGCAAGCTACATTAACTACTTTATTGCACAAACCATAGTCAAATTCATTCTCTGCTGGATCAAATCCTACGCCATAGCTGGAACTCTCCTCTTCAGCTGCAGATTGTCTACGTATCTTATTGCCAGGCTGCTCCTCATCAAGGTCTTGCTTGTTCTGAGATGATATACTACATATTGGATGTAATTCAGTGCTGAAATTTTAAGAAGAGTAGATTAGAAACTGACAGCACATGACATACAACAAACACAAAATCATCCCATTAACAGCTCAGTTTTCCTGGTTAGCTGATTATATAGACTACCCTGGAGCTTGAAATCAATAGTCTGGCTGGTCCCTATTTATAAAAATATTACAGGGAAGCGTAAAAGGTTTGGAAACATCATAAAATGTAAGGGAAAGGAAAGCCTAACATTTGCCTTAGTAACACTCATTATGCACATAGATAATGCATTGTGTAAGAAGCCTCCCTTGTTTCAAGTAGATTTCTCCCATAACCTATCACTGGTAAGTTTTGTGTTTGGCTTTATTTTCTAGAGTATTAATTCTGTGCCCTTCTTCATGCCTAGCCCAACAGAAGATAGATAGATAGATAGATAGATAGATAGATAGATAGATAGATAAGATAGATGATAGATGATAGATAGATAGATAGATGGATGATAGATAGAAATGCTTTGGTTGAGATGACAGAAGGATGATCAGCTTCATCAATCTCAGAAACAAACATCAAAATATATCAACAGGAAAGAAAGGGTCAGATTTTACAACTGCTTCTCCTAGGCTGCCTTTGAAGTTTGCTGTCTCAGACATATGCATCCATAGTTTTGCATAAGACGGATCCAAGCCTAATCTGATTTAGGGAATAAAACAGCTGACAATGTGTTTCAAAACCAACACAGCTCAGCTCTGCCTACTTTAATCCACAGCCCAGACATCAGTTTAGGTGTGTGATTTCTAGACTTACACTTTACTCTTATCTTCTACCCTGACTTGTGGTGCAGCTGAGAAAAGAGCTTTCTAGGCAAGTTTTAGGTTGAAAACTTTAAAGAATTGGTAGCAGCTTAAAAGGGAGACTTTTTTTTTTTTGTAAGCTACTTTTACCCTTTGACTTTGTGCACTCTCTACGTCCTCCAAAAATCGAATTTAAAAGGTCTGCGAGAAAGGAAAACTAATGAAGCCCCAGCATCAGAAGGTGAGGGACATTTCCTATGAGGTTCTGAACATCCTCTACTATTATCAATATTTTTCATCTTGCCTGTCAACTGAGGCAAAAAACTGATTTTCTGTTAGGTCAAATATGTACTATGAAGGTCACAACAGCAATAACAAGGCATTACATTTTGCTCCCCTGTGTTCTGCTCGTGTAAGGATGAGTGAGGGGTCCAGTGTATTGATCGATATATCAACAGTTCTCTAGCTGAAAGGGAGCATATGCCCCCAAGGAGCAATAAAGGGAAAGAAAGTCCCTCAGTTTTGAGTGAAAAAGGCACTCGAGGGCACTGAAAACTACTGCAATTGGTGGTGCTTCAGCAATGAACTGAGGGAAATGTTTTTATCCAGTCATTTCTAAGCTATGAGTTAAAAATAAACCTTTTCCCAAATTACAGAGGCAGCGCCTGAAGCTAAATTTGTCCCCTGACAAGACTGCTATGTAAAGCCAGTTAAATATTTCTGATTATTACAACCTATTAATTCTTGAGTTACTTTACAGCGAGTGGTCCCAAAGAAAACCAGAGTCCCACAGAGGTTTAGCTGTTCTTTTTGCTCTGAGGATTGGTGGTGAGGAGTCTTCTTCCTGGTCAACTGTGAGCAGGTAAGATGGGCAGTTGCAAACTGCTTTGGTACTGATTGCTTACTAGCAATTTGCTCTTGGGTGTTTGTTTGCTCTTTGGATTGTGTGGTGCATTCAAAGCAACAAGCTAAAACATATTTTGGCAAGGGATGGGTCCTTGCTTTCTTACAAGACGGTAGGTATTGTAACACGGTTCATTTGTTCAGTCTCTGTGTAACCTTCTGTTACTGTTTAACATTGCTTTGCTCAAGCAAACCCTCTGAAAATAGAGAAAGGACAACTTAAAGAACAAAGTTAAAATGGGTAGAGTGCTCTGACAAAACTAAACAAGAATGACTGCCTTTGCACAAGTCATTATTTTATGTGCTTCATTTGGATGCAGTGACAGCAGAATACTGTGTGCTAAGGAACACGCTCAGCAGAATAAATAGTCCCAACTTGGGTTCTGTATTAAGCCCTATCTCAAAGCAGTCATCCTCACCAAAAAGTGACACAAAGTGAGCTGTGAGCAGCTGATAGTATGTTCTCATGAGACAAGGCCCAAACGTGACTACTGATGCTGCCATACTTTAAGAAAAAGTAGGATTTCTTGTGACAGCTCCTCCAAAGAATAATGATTGAGTGTAAGGACAGAGTCACATCAATGTCATTCTTTCAGGCAGATGGTGATCTTTATGTCAAAGAAAGCCAAAAGCTTGCTAAAGTTCATAATGGTCTCTGCCAAGTTAAGGGTTTTAACATTCAGCCTCTGCCCTATCTGCACTTCAAGGATACTATTTTCCAGTCACAGAAAAACATGAGGGGTGTTCAGCAAACTGCACTGGGTTTGTCCTAAGAAAGCGGTTCACCTTCTGTTAGGCCAGTGTGATAAATCTTACTGGATTGGAAAAATCCGGTAATATAACCCTTACTGGAATGGGGGGGAGGGAAAGGAAAGCATCAAAATTGTTTTAATTTGCACCTCAGTGTGGAGGAGCTGTGCTTGATGTGACATGCCCCAAAATTCAGAAAGCAACGCAGCTGTAACAGGTTTAAGCTTTCAGTTATCACAACAGCACCTGTTCACCAGTACCGATGGATTTGGAACAGGTGATCAAGTATGATCCACTATGGCAACTTATTTTATCTGGAGTGCTGCAGAAGTCTCAGGGAGGGAAAATCTAACAGAAGTGGGGCAGGCAGAAAGGGGCCACACATCCCTGTCTTAATTCCTTCCCAGATTTCCTATATGAATGCCAATTGCTGTAATGATCCTTAGAAATGCTCTTCTGGGGGTGATGAAGCATCCTTTTTATCCTGCCTGGACTACCTGAGAGTAAATAAAACATCCCCTAACAGCATGGTTTTTGAGACCCAAACGGCCACAGGACAATTACCGTATCCTGTGAAGGTGCGTGGCAAGTCGGGTCACATCACAGTTAACTAGTTAACTTGTACATTTGAAGTCTGTCTATCTGAGCTGATAATACTCAGTGAGAATCATTGATACTTGAAGTCTCACTGCAATTTGCTAATAGAAAATTAAAATAAGCATGGAAAACTACTTTGGGAATCTAAAAAGACACCCTGCCCTGACTGCTGATTTAGGTAGAAAAAAGTCTGTTCTAGATTAACCATTTCATAAATCATGTCCAAAAATGTTGTGTATGTAGACTTGACAGATGCTGTATCTGTGGCGCTTGGTAGCTGTTTCAAGATCAGTGTGGCTTCCTGAGAAACAAGTTTGAGATCATGCAGTGGTCCTATTACCCTCCTGAACTGATGGCCAAGTACCTACCAGCTTCTGTGTGAATCACAGCTTTCCCTCCAGCTACCTCCTGCTAAGTTATCAACCTTTTCCTGTTGAATGTCTTCAGCATGGCTCCAGGCTGACCCAGAATAGCAGGTCACAGTGACAGATGGACCTTTAGCTAGTGGGAGCTAGAGCCACAGCTGGGGAAAATGCTGATGCTAACACACCTATCAAAATGTATTATTCCCCTTTAGTAGAGAGGCAGTGCACTGTGTAGCATGAACCTCCATGTATTGTATATATGTTTATTTCTATCCATTTACTTACCTGCACTGAAGAGACCTGTTCCATCCAGACTTTAAGGAAGTTCACTTAATGAGATGAAAAAGGTATGCAAAGAGTAATGTTCATACACTGCCATGTAGTCCTTGACGTGTCTTCTGCATCTCCAATACCCCTGGTGCTGAAGGCTGTGTGGATCTCTGAACGTTTACCCTACCCTGAATCTGAATGGGATCATGCACCTGAATCATAGGATTTGTGAATATCTCAGCCTTAACCCTAACCCAAACCCTAATGTAAGTGACATCATGGAGATGAGGCCTATGTCATGAGCACCATGTCTGGCCCACAGAAGAAAGGTATGGAATGAGTAATGTTGGTGCTATCCTGTGCACACCTTCGCATGCCTTTTGCAGCCCCAGTGTCCCTGGAGCTGTAGGCTTTGTGGATCACTGAACCCTAACTCTAACCCTAATATAAGCTGCATCATGGAGATGAGGCCTATGTCCTGACCACCATGTCTGACCCAGATGAGAAAGGTGTGGAAGGAGTAGTGTTGGTTCTGTTCCATACTCCCCTGGCATCTCTTTTGAAACCCAGGTGACTTTGGATATGTAGGACTTGTGGATTCCTTAATCCTAACCCTACACCTTACCGTAACACTAACATAAGCAGCATCATGGAGATGAGACCTACGTCCTGAGCACCTGCTGAGAGACACCAGAAAGAAAAACAAATGAAATCACTTACTTTTGTCTTTTCCAGTTTGTAAATGCACAGCAATGGCTGGGATAGGTGAAGTTTGCCTCAATCAAAGCTCTAAATTTGCTTAAATCAGGAAGCTTTTTTAAATTGTATGTAGACCTTGCTCTTAGCTTCTTAATGAGTTCTAATCCATGACTTGGCAGGAAGCTGATTCTCGTCCTTGAAATATCCCTTTAAGAAAACATAAGAAAATCTTGGTAAAACGCAAACTTACTTCTTCTCGACAGTGGGTATGTGTTTTGGACTGTCCTACTTTTTCTTGGAGTAGTGATTGGAAAGAGATCAGCCAGAAATGTACACTGAAAAGAGGATCCTGGGATTAATTACGTGTTCCTCCAGGAAACCTGAACTAATACCTATTGCCAACAACAATCAAATGATGTTAGTCTGGTCTCAGAAAAAACTCTTTATGTTAGAATTAGCAGGGACATAAACCTTTAGTGCCATATGGTACTGGGTTTAGTAAATACCCAGTAAATACAACAATCATCCCTCAGTACTGCTACAGGGTAAAAAAGGCTGACGAAATCACAACAGAAGTTTGCTGCATGAACATCACATCAGGGGAAGGCTGCTGTGGAAAAAGCACTAAACACAAAAAGACGAACTCGCGTAGGGATATGTATGTGAGGAGAGGTTGGGATATCAGGTCTTGTACTCATTAGGAAGAGAAAGAGATCAAAGAGAGACATGGGTGAGTTGGTTCAAACTGTGAGGAACAAAAATAAGAAGACATTTCCAGAGGTTTGAAAAATAAAGACAGCACAGACTCAAGTTGAGAAAGGGGCGAGATTACAGGAGGTTTGGAGAGATGTATTTGTATGGAAGGCAATTACTGCGTGGGATGGGTTATCAAAGGCAGCGATGGAAGCAGCAGCTACAAAGGCCTTAAAGAGATCATTAGGGCTTTTAAAAGGAAACCCATTGTGCAAACACTAAATCTTGCCCTGTGCCTTGAAGGTGGGGAAAGGGAAGAAGGACCAAGGGTGCTCCATCTCCAGGCTAAGAAATGCTTGGGAACGCATCCCAGTGGCTCCAGGGTGTAACAGCTGGGGCAAAACATCCCCACATTTCCCTCACCAAGGCACAAACTGTGTCCCTTGGCTCATGACAGCAGGAGAGCACACTCATTTCTCTGAGAAGCAACAATGAAATGAACTGCACAAAATCACCCTGTCCTCCCTTCGCCCCTGTGCTCTTATGGCCTGAGACTGATCCAGGCTGCGGTGTTTGCTGAGGGTGCTCTGCCCTTCAGTCTCCAACAAAAGAAATGAAATTTCCCCAATCAAGGAATTGGACTGACAATATCTGTAATTTTCTCCGTGCCCCCTCCAAGGTACAGTATCCAATTAATCTAATTAATTATCCAATTAATAACAATAAGAAGTCAGGACAACCTATTGTTTGATCTCTATAACCCAACACAGAATCATAGACTAGCTAGATTTTTATTACCAGCATATTAATGCAGTAAAATGTCATGTGAGGGGGAGACCGGGTTTTAGCAGCATGTAATAAAGTTCAGACAGCTGCTATGTACCATTTGCAACTCTGTTCTAAGAAGCGAAATGAACACCAGGAAATGGCTCTGTTTGAACTCACAGTGAGTGATAGTTAGTTAGCTTGGGGTGGCCAAGTCTAACAAATCCATAGGCAGCTAGTAAAGCAGATGGTAAAGTCAGCAGAGGGTAAAGATCATCTTTGTGTCCATGCTGTGCCACAGCTGAAGCTTTGCCTCCAGGCTCTGAAGGGATATGCCACCTTCAACAACTGGACCAGGAACTGTGGCAGCAGAGGAGCAATACTGCACTCCCCTACCCTAATGTGGGGCCATGACTTCTACTGGCAAGGTGAGACAGACCAGTGGAGCCAGAAATGCTCTGAACTTCTGCAGGTCAGGCTGAGAGTAGCCACGCTGTGGTCCTGAGGCTGTTCTGGGCCTGATCTGCTTCTCACAGGAGCTAAAAGCAGCAGCTGACAAGAAATCTTAGGCTATCAATACCTGACTTAGATGCTTGAAGAGGTAATTAGGATACAATAAGCAACCGTGATTGTTTCATGGACTGGCTGTTGCCCTTAGCGTGCCATTGCCTAATAAAATATATATATATGTATGCACTTACGTCTCAACAACTAAACAGCAGTTTTCTGCCTAAATCCACTAACAGCATCACTCATGGCATCATTGCGAGTCGGTGGGACTTCATAAGGGCTCATAATTCTCAACAAGAGCATGGAAAATATTTTCTTTGTCTTGTTAGCTAAAAATCTTTACTGAGTCCCAACCGTGAATAGGAGCATCACCTAGACTTAAAAAATAGCTAAAATGTCACTGGATCTCTGGGCATCTTTAAATAATTACATAGATATTAAATATATTTTTCCATTATTTTCTTCTTTTATAAAAAAATATCTTTTTATGCTCATTATTGCACATAAGTTGGAGTGAGATAGGGAAAGTGCTGTTGTTGGTATGTCTGTTACGGATAGTTACCAATACACCACTGACAAGCCCTCAAACAGCAAACACAGACATTGTGCATGTGGTTTAGTAACTTACTCAACTGAGTCACTACATGCAGACCTCAGTGCAGAGGTTCTCTGGAACATTGCTCTCTAGTTAGAGGCTTGATAAATTAAATAAGCATGATGAACAAGACAATAAGGTGGCAGTAGGAAATCAAACCATAAAGCATCAGTGACTGGAATACATGTGCTCGTACTATTATTGCCTGGCTGCTAGTCATCAGCCTTGACAGCAGCCAGCTCAGAAACAGCAAAATGAATCTGACTTCTCTTCCAATCACTTCTCTTTCCCACTGGGAGTCTCTGTTGGATTAGCAAAACTACTGACCAACTGATGAGGTCTGAAAGGCACATAAAGAAACAGCAAGAATTGGCTGGTGGAGCCCAGATCAGAGCAGAGATCAGCGAGCCACCAATCACACTGATTGGTGAGAAATATTTTCCCTGTGCTCTAGGGACTCAGCTGATGAGTTGGCGATCAACTGGAACTCTCCTATGGCCCCCATACATGGATTTCTCATTGAAGACAAATTGCAAGGGTAGGATGGACCGCAGCCGTACCTTGCTCTGCACCCAAGTGAGGATACAGCCAAAGAACTCCAAAGGACTTCAGTAAAAGCTGATGTAAGCCACTACAGCTCTAGGAGCATCAGAAGATGATTAAATGAGACAATGTGGCTGAAAATTGAAGCTGTGAAATTCCAAGTTGGAAATACAGTGTATTTCTTTATAGGAGGAATACGTATAGGTGTGGGAGTAATTAGCTATTTGATTTCCCTGCCTACCGGCAGCGCTGAAATCCTTTAAAACTTGATGTCTTTCTAGATGATGATATTCTAATTCAGCCAAGAGCTGTAAACCTCAGAGGAACTGATTTACTGATCTGTGAAACTGTGTAGCCTGTATGAGGGCTAAGATCGGTGCTTTCTGACATTACTATTCATGTTTGTGTTTCTTCACACTATTTTAATATGCTGCGTTATAAAACAGAAGTTGGTATAAATTGACTGTAGAAAACTGATTCAGGAAGATCAAGAGTTAAAACATCCTGACATTCATTCTAATAAAATAATGCAGTCAGCAACATAGATTTGGTTGCAGCAACACTATTTGTCCCAGCAAAGATATGATTATGGGTCAATCATTTCCGTACGTGCATTCCTGGTGTACACTACAGTGATGGATAAGTAAGAAGGCTCTTATCCTGATCTCAGTTAGGATAAAAAGGTAATTTCCCATCCATAGAATAGTGGATGTATTGGTAATGGAACAGAAAACTTCCTACACAAATATCTCAGTGTTAGCAATTGAACTATCAACGGAATCTGAACTACAGCCAAATCAATTTGATAAACTTCCAGAATATGACTGTATCAGCTACAGCTTGCAAAGAAAATGCATTTACTTTTGACTACAGGAAAGAATGCTCTTCAAAAGGAACATCTATGATCTTACTGCTCAAACGATGCTTCACAAGCAGTCTTTTCCAAAGAAAAAGACGCTGTGAGGGAGTGATAGAAGTGGAGCAGAATGCAGTAACCCATATCACATATAACTCAACTCTTTGTACCACAGGTGCACTGACCATCACAATGTGGAAATAAGGCCTTCAGAAGAGCTCTGATCTGAACTCCAGACATTATTCTCCTTTTGTAGATTTCTAACCACTCTAACCTCCGTGTAAAACCTTCCACCAGCTCCAGTGACTCCCTTTCCGCCTTTCTGGTTAACTCTTAGCCCTCTCTGGACATCCAGGGTAGATGGGCTCTGATGAATTGATGAGACAAAATATGACTCCCATGTCTCTGCTGCAGCTTTTCTGTGTTGTGCCTTGTGCTGAGCACACAAGCAGCTGTGCACACTTAGGGGTGTTTTCAGACCCCACGGCAAACCATTGAGGTAATGGTGACTGAGATCCATGAGCATTCTTACTGCAGGATTCTCTACTGCTAAGGTCCTTCTTTCTAGCTTACCACCCACCAAAGACACCTTCCTGTAACTGCATGAGATATACCTCATACCTAGCTATCCCTGTAGGCTAGGGAATTTATCTTCAGAATTAAGCCTTAGAGATGCAGGGGCAGATCTTCAGTGGTGAGCAATTCAGATTTAAGCACTGAGGACCCACTCACCTATTCGTGATATTGCTCAACCCAAAAAACTAAGCATTTTTCTCTGGAAAAAAACAAAGCAGATCTACTCTCTTACAGAACTTAATCAGCTGTGGAGAGGAATCTCGATTTAAATTCCCTGATCCAAATACTCTCCAAAACTTGAGGACAAAGTAAAAATATGGAGCTAGACTGAAATTTCACTTACAGCTTCCAATATATACCTCCACTTTTGAACTCCAATGTTGAGATGTTGAGATCCGGGCTTGCATTTATATGTTCTTCTCTACTCTCTTCTAGGGAGTTAATAGTGAGAAAAATGGTATCTGAATATTACTTACAAAACAATAGGCCCACTGGCTCCTTGGAAGACCTCATTTGGTAGTCTTTCGAGGTTGTGATTATCACTTAGATTTCTGAAAAACCACAAAAATATTCATGCTAAAACGATCTGAGATGAAAATGGCCCTTGTAGCAGTTACTACCTTCTAATGATTGCTTTTGAGAATAGTAAACAACAGAAATTGTTACAGCTCATCCAGGAAGGTTCCATTAAATGCATGATCCTCTATTTCCCGAATCCCATTTTTATTCAGCCATCTGTAACAGAGAGAAAGCTTTCTTATTCCTGCTTTACAATTATATATAAGTATATAATTCACATCCATGAAAGGAACCTCAAATAAAATTATTAAATGCATATTCAAATGGTGACATGTCTATAAATTCTAGCAAGTAGTATCCCAGGAGCTGGAGGAAGGCTTTGGAAAGTAGACACGAGTAGGGCAGATAGGTACTACCATCAGAGATGACAGCTGGAGCAAGGGCAGAGCTGATGAAGTTGCTGGTACTGGAAGCAGCAGCGGAATCAGTGAGGCTGTTCCAGCTTAATCCCAGGACGGGTGAGACCAAGATCTTTCCTGCTAGTGCTGTTGGTGCCATTTAGTTTTACTTTATTCAAGATGCTTTTTTAAACACTGGGCCACAGCTTAACCTTTGCCAGGACCAAAGTGGGGTGGTGGTGGTGCCAAACCTCCCAGGAAGCGGCTGATTCCTCCTACATTTGCTGCCTTGAGAAATTACACTCCCTGTCTGCTCTGCTGCCCCAGTCCCACCTCCCCAGGCTTCCTCCCCCAAGAGGAGACAGAGGTATGAACCTGGGAATTGAAGCTCCTGGGGCTTTCTGCCAATTTGTCACTGAAGTGCATTAACTAATTAAGGTTTAATGTCCTTCCCTCTCTTCCCTTCACCGTCCTAAACATTTACATTTGGGTCAGTTATATTTATCGTCTTTATGATGCAATCTTTCATCTCGCTTTAAATGTCACTTTGCAACTCACACCCTCTCCAACAGGCAGTGACAGGTCTGATTGATGGCAAAAATGGGCTGATTTAATTAAACTGTCAGCAAACCTGGACGTTTTAACTCACACTGAACGCTGGGAACGTGAGTGACCCACTTAGATAAGGTCTGAAGTGGTGAGCTAAGGTCAGCATGAAAACCAGTTATGGGTCTGGCTGAAAGGATTACCCTTCTGACCATGACAGGCAGATGTACATAGCTCTGTGTCTATAATGTCTGTAAGGTCAGATGAGGAGAACTGTCACCGTCCCCTTCACTTGCAAGCGCTAGTAGGCAGGAGTTAAGCAGGCACAGATGAGAGACATGTCCCTGCTTATAGCATTTAAAACATTTATTATATTACATTGATCTTGCCCATTCATAACTGTCAGGATGATATATATGCTTTTAATCACAGATTAGCATTTACTGCATTCTTTCACTGAACATGATGCTATGAAATGAGATACTAAGCTTGTAAAACCAGAATCACTGTTGCCATACAGTGTGGACTATATAGTCCCATCACCTGGCTAATTGAATTCAAACAGTAAAAAGAGTAAAAAAGGATTTTACCTAAATCCCAAGGCCTCATTATAGTACAGAGACAAGTTTCTGTTGACACAAACTCTCCTCTCCCTTCCAGCCTTACCAACTCCACTAACTCTTACATTACCAACAAGTGACAATGGAGGCAGAGATGCAGAGCTTCCTGATTAGGAAAGCCTAATCAGGGACTGTCAAAGCACACAGGCAGGGCCTCTATCCAAAGGGAGAACTATAGCAGAATCAGGACATTATGTGACCAGGTGATGGTGGCCAGTTCTCCTTGCACACATTGCAGGAAGCAGGGCAAAGCAGCCGCAGCTTCTCTGGGCAACCTGTGCCAGGGTCTCACCACCCTCACAGGGAAGAACTTCTTCCTCACACGTAACCTAATCTCCTGTTTGAACCTCTTGTCCTATCACTACACTCCCTGATGGGGACAATATTGATGGTCTGACCTTGCTCTCATAAAGATCAGTGTGAGCCCATTCAGTCAATCAGATCTTGCTTGTCTACTTCAGGACGTGAAGCAAACTGCTCACACACAGAGTGGGAAAGTTTTCCAGTCTGGTCACTGGTTAGGTGAAACGAAGACAGCTTGTTAGCAAGCAAACAGTAGGTTTTGATATACCAACAGAAGCAATCAAAGAAGTCAGATCATTAAAATACATGACTGTTCAAGTCAAATGTAGAGTCATCTAACCATGCAGCTTGAAACTGTGTTGTGAACTGGCCTGTATCAGTGCATTTACATTGGGTGCATTTCCACAACATCTGCATATATTTTGCCAGAGTAATAAATGCCTTTGAATGATGTGTCTGAGTGTAAATATTTATGAGTCATGCTATCCTTTTGAACACAATTTGTATCACATGGAGCTGTTGTTGTAGGAGGAATATGTTTAACCTTGGCATCAGTAATTGCTAAATATGCTGTGCTTCTAAAATAAAGAGTAGGATTAGAACACAACAAAAACTCACAAAGGCATTAATTTTTCATGGCAGGATAACAGAATACCTGGATTTCAGGAACACGGAAGAAGCCTAAAACCTCAGGTTGAATTTGGAAACTTATGAAATAGTGCCCATCCCCTAATAGCCTTGACCTTATTCAGGACAAAAAAAAAGAGCCAACAAGAAGATCAATGAATTTTCTAAGTCTTACTCACAGAATCAGATTCTCAGAACTGAGGCCCATGAATGAATTCCTTTCAATTGTACGTATGTTGAGATTGTCTTGAATATCCCTGAAAAATAAAATACAGTGGAAACCATTGTATCCTGTATACAACAATAGATATTTTTGTACCTTTGTGAGCCTTTCAATACTGTACGCTATTTCCACCACAGTATTTTTCCACGTATACAATCTGAGGAAGCATTACAGACGAAGGGTAACAAGTTAAGTTTTTAAGACATTTTGTCTGCAGAGCGCAAATGATGAGTTTTCCAGGTTAAAAAAAGGCCGGAGCAAAACGTTTCCAGGACCCCCACACTTTCCTCCCAAATAGGCTGAAGTAATTAAAATGCATAAAAGCTTTGGTCTCATAGCCCTCATAAGGTCTCATAAAAACTCCTGAGGTGGATGAGATCCTTCAGCAAACAAACTACACAGAAAACGCAAGCTGAGGGGCTGCTTCTCGCAGCCTCCCAACCAGAAGAAGGAAGTTCCCCCCCCCATGTCAACAGGGTTCCTTACAAGCTTTGTATGTGCTTAAGAACTTAAGACCCGGGACCCCTGTCAATGCAGTTTGTCGAGCTGACAAGTAGGCATGTCAGTCTTTCAGCAGTTTTGACTAATATAGATGTACATTCTGTTGCTTGCTCAAAATAGACCTCAAAGAAGTTAAATAGGATTACTCATAATTTAGCCTGAGATACGGTTGTTTTCATGCTGTTTCTGTTGGAAAGCACAGTATGAAATAAATTATCTGAAAGCTTGAAATTAAGTGCGGCTCCAGAATTATCTCACGCTGACAGCTGAGTTTGGCCACAGCTCTGCATTAAGTGATACTTACACAGAGGCCTCATTCTGCAAACTGAGGTCAGCAGAGGTAGGAGTAAGGAGGGAGTGCTGCATCCATGCAGTGAAGTGTATCCTTTTGTTAAAGACCTGCACCAGCCCTTTATAAACATCTGTGGCCAATCAAGATGTATCTTTGGGACTTAAAATACTGGCACAACTGAAGCCAATGGGCATTATCTTATTGACCTCAGTGGGGCCAGAGTTTGAACCAAGGTCTAGTCTGAGACTCAAGCAGTATCAAGTCCTACCTATTCTTAGAGTCATAGAATAGTTTGGGTTGGAAGGGACCTTAAAGCTCATCCAGTTCCAACCCCTTGCCACAGGCAGGGACACCTTCCACTAGACCAGGTTGCTCCAAGCCCTGTCCAACCTGGCCTTGAACAGGGATCCCTGCCAGGGATGGGGCAGCCACAGCTTCTCTGGGCAACCTGTGCCAGTGCCTCAGCACCCTCACAGGGAAGAATTTCTCCCTAATGTCTTATCTAAACCCCTCCTCTGTCAGTTTAAAACCTCTTCCCCTTCTTATAGCAAAGTGAAGTGTTTCATCTGAAAAAAAACCCCAAACCTTTTGCTCAGCAGGGCACAATCATTCAACTCTAGTTAACGCTGATGATAAACATATATAGGTATATCTATTCCTAGGAGGAATCTGTTGCATTTGCTTGATGGTTTTGAGGAGCCCTGAAGTGCAGTTCTCAGAATTACTTATATATGTGTGTATATATATATACAGATATATACATACTTATATATGTGCATATATAACTTATATATGTGTATACCATATAGTCAGGCACCCCCCTCTATGTTTTCAATGCATTTTTATTTCTACCAATGGCCATTACTACAGCAATTGCAGGATTAATGTTTCTGCAGCTTGAAATCTTCTAGTCACAGACTTGGCTGTGCAGAACTTTGCCTGTGCATTAACAATATATCTTGGTCAAAGGAAGAGAAGAGATAGTTGCTTGCTTCCTTTGTGTTCTGGCTGCAATTATGCTAAGAATTGATTAAAAACCTTACATCAAGGTATTTTTCAGTGAAAAAAAAAAAATCAAGCTTTTTCTGATCACATTTTTTACTCAAAATCCCCAATGCTTTTACAGTGAAAAAAAGCGCTTCACACAAAACTTTACACAAACATTTTTTCCCTGCTGCCACCAGACTTTTCCATAGGAAAAATATTCTCTGGACAGTTTTACTGCCAGTGGCAAAGAAAGAAAAGGGTATGGTAGAGTTATTCCCCTGTGTTTTCTTTTTGGTTTTTACTCTGTGATGTGGATACCTCTCCACAGGACACAGCTCTGAGATCAACCCTTCCCATGCAAGCCAGAGAACGGTCACCAGGTGGCAACACATTTCCACTGCCACCAGCCCGGTTTGGATTTCAGTTGGTGAAAGGGGGTAAAAGGCTGTTACCCACCCTCTGGGCCACCCAGGCACACACTCATAGCGTAGTTAAAGGAAGAGCAGTCTGTAAAGTGCAAGTTAGAATGCTTTGTGGAAGGGAGACCTAGAGAGGACTGAGACCTTTTGGGCAACATCATCATCGGCCCTAGATAATTACAATCCAAAATCTACCACATGAAGCTAATAAGCAAACACAAGAGGAATCACATCTTGAAAGAGGAATCTTATCTTCAAAGGTTTTGTTGGAGCAGAAGACCATTCAAAGGGAGCTTTTAAAAGTGAAAACCAGACACTAAAACTTACAGCAAAACTTTATGGAAAGAGTGCACCTTATGGACAGCAGGTAAAAACCGAAGGCCAGTGTTTGATATCAACCTATTGGAGAGAGAACAGATGAAGATTATTCACTCTGCCCCAGGAGCAAAGCAATAATTAAAACAAAAGTAAATTGTACTTAAAATGGCGGCCAAAAAGGCAGTTTAGCCACAAATGGGAGAGCTGCCCATAGGAAACTTGAAACTGTAATGTAAAAAGGCTCTTCTGCAAAGCACAAGACTGAATTCTGCGCCACTGAAGTCAAGGGAGAAACCCTACCTTGGATCATTCCACAGTCCCTCCTGGTGATCCCAGGGAACTGTCACTATTAATTTCCCAACCATATTCTGAGAAACCAACTGCACTGACACAGGATAATTATTTTCACAGTAGCTTTTCTAAGACAAAACTCACCACAATTTTAACCTTCTATCTAGAGGCTATATTAATTCCATTGGGAGTAACATTATTTCATGAAAGTAAGAGAGAATTAGGACTCTTTATACCCCAGCACCTCCAGTAGTGGCGAACTGAACATATGGGACTGCTTCAGCAGTTTATGTGACTCAAAATGGGCCTGAGCCACTGTATTTATCTACCTCTCCTCTCCCACCGCATTAAGCATCACTGTCCATGAAACACCATCCTAGAAACACTGACTGTGAAGGAGAGCCCTGCACCCACAGAGCTGTACCTCATCTAATCTAAACAAATGTTGTTACCTAGAGTAGTAGCCAGTGCTGGGCAACAACACTGCCATGCAGCAGGAGATCCTGGTGGCTGCTGATGGGTGGAAGGAAGGATGAGCACAAGAGGGAGGAGGAGCTGGACCAGCCTGGGATCTGACCAGCTGGGAGTTTTGCCCAGCCATCAAAATGCCTCATTTCATCTCACCAACCACCAAATGTCTCACCAACCAAAGAGGAAATCTGGGTTCTTCAAAGTTCAGTTGTATCCCTCTATTTTTAATATGTGAGATGGCAGAGAAGGTAAACTGTCACTGAGAATACTGGTTCCTTAATGAATGTGTTAGTAGTATGTGGAAAGTATTTTTTACCCTGGCACTTACACAGAACAATATTCTTTCACTACTGGATGTGATCTGTTGGTTTGGTGTTTTTTTTGGATTTATTCCTGAATAGCTGAATGGTGATGAAAAGCACTATTTGAGACTGGAAAAAAGTAACAGAATTCATCTGATGTTTATTATGAACATCGATTATTTCAGGAGTGTTGCAAACTTTCAGGTTTCATAATCTGAGCTGAAAATGAACACCTCCATGTGACAAAGCAAATCCTACATTTGGGCACTCAGGGTGACACAGAGGTCCATAAAACACTCATTCACTTGGGTAAGTACTGGCTCTGAGCTCCCCGAGGTGGTATCTGGTGATCCTCGGATGTTGAAAAGCCGCCGTGTTCTGTTTCATCTTATCACAAAATGTAGCAGATTGTATGCAGGAAAAAAACCTTAAATATAGGAAATATTCAAGAAGCCAATTTGGGAAAGTTGCTGAAATGTCATGGCTATTCCGTCTCGGAAGTCAGAGTGGTCTGACACTGCATTAGCTTAAAAATAACAGCTGTCACATGTGACCAAGAAAGCTCTACAAAAATGTCTTTGAAAAGCTGTTACTTATAGTTAAATAGAAAGCATGATTTCACATAGAAATAGAAAGCAGGGACATTTCACAAGGCCCTTATTACTTAAAAGTACCTATACTTTGTAAAAGGAGTTAGCTGAAAAAATTAGAGGCAATAGAAGAACCTGTACCTCTTCCCTTCCAGCACTTTAAAGCACACTCTCTAAATAACAGGTGATGTACAGGATTTTAGTTGAAAGCTGCCTTTAATTTTGAATGAGTCATATTCTAGAAAAGAATGCAATTCTTTTTACAAGCCCCTTGTTAAATCTGAATTACAGCATGCTTCTCCTCTAGTTGATAAATGAAAAAGCAAACTGATGCCAAGTAGTGTGTGGCTATTGTAGGACAGTGAAGACATGAGAAGCTTTCCTCCCTTGAGGAAAATCTCAGTCCTCATGTTGCTGTAATGAAAGGTGATGATACTCTTAACATATGCTATTCAAACTCTGCTCCCAGTTGCAACTTACTCCCAACACATCAAAATGACAGCCTGGGCTTTCACCACGTGTGTGAAAAACCACATTCAAGGCCTTGGCTGATGCCATAGCCCTGATCTTTCCAGTAATCCCAAGGTGTTCAGGGCTCAATTTGTACTGGTGTCAACTGAGCAGCATGAGATAAAGAGGAAAGCATCTTTGACAAATCATTACATACTGAAGTAAATCTACAGGTGGCACAACGCACTGATTGCACAGAGCGGTGACTGAGAGTAGGAGAGGGTGCTCTTGCCATTAACTGGAGAAAAAGAACTAAAAAATATTTAGTTAGGCTGCAGCTTAGATCTTCCCTCTCCTTTTACTCAGCCAGCAAATCCCAGAGGCCTTTAAGTGGATAATCTTGTTAGAATGTAGATAATCCAATTTACTGAGTATCTTTCCTGCAGGACAATTTTGTCAATATATTTACCATTTAATGTATACATCCTTAGTAACCTCACTTTAAACAGGTGTCCTCTTTAATCTGAGTGAATCCCCGCTTGCCATGCGTAAGCAGCTCAGTAAGAACCTGTTTCTCAGATGGTTGATGGCTGCTTTCCAAAGCATTAACTGCCTTGCTAGAAAGGCTTACCGGACTCAGCACTTCAGAAAACATAGCACCATGATCAGCAGAGAAAAAAATAAATCTTTCAGAAGGTAATTCCTGGAAGATTCTCACTGTTTTTCTCCAAATATAGCAACGTCTGCTCTTTTGGATGCCAACTGATGCCAATTGGTAGGGGCTAACTCTGACAAAACTGGGAGCAGTTTACCTCATCAACTTACTGTGGGTATTTGTTGACGTGCAAACCCGAGGTAGGCAGAGATAAACACAACAGCACTCCCTTCTGTGTCTTTTAATCATGCTGGTTACTTTCTATTGCATGTGAGCCTGATTCATAAAATCATAGAATGGGTTGGGTTGGAAGGGACCTTAAAGCTCATCCAGTTCCAACCCCCTGCCACGGGCAGGGACACCTTCCACTAGACCAGGTTGCTCCAAGCCCCGTCCAACCTGGCCTTGAACACTGCCAGGGATGGGGCAGCCACAGCTTCTCTGGGCACCCTGTGTCAGGGCCTCACTACCCACAGATCACTCCAGCAAGGGATCCCTCTGACGTATGTGTCCCAGCTTTCCAGGCTAAACTGAGCATGTAATCCATACCACCCGCTTCAGGCGCAAGGTCTTTCTTTAACCGTGAGGCTGCCATGCAAAAGGAAGGAGAGGATCATCACTTCTGTTTATTGAAGAGCCAACTCCATGCAAAGCATCAGCAATGCTGTGAATTTTGTGGTTTGGGTTTAGGTAGCATGCCAGGTACATGGGCCAGATCCTCCACAAAATAAGACCAGGCAGGCACAATCAGCTGCAAGACTTTGGAGACGGGCTTTGCTCTCCACAATGCAAACTATTTTGCTGATAAAATGCATGCTTTTTCAACCTACGTTTTCCCTGCCCTCCAACAATCCAGCTGTATGCCCTCAAAACTGATGTGAAAGGAGCGTAATGTTTAGACCTTTCTATTTTAGGCTGAGATTGCTTAATACAGAACATTGACACATCACTGTAAAAAAAGGAACCAAAGGACACAGATTCCACATAAGAACTAATTCTGGAAAGGAAATAGCTTTGAGAAGCCATCACTACATTATTAAACAGACAATGCCACAGCTCTCCCTAATGAGAGCCAGATAAATAATCTTGTACCCATGAAAAGGTCAATAAATTACCATTTTGAAGCCGTCTGTCTCTTTGGCTTACATCCAAGAAGACCAATTAGCAATTCTCTTCACTGCTTCTAAAAGACCAGTGAGAAAGATTTTCTTTTCTAGGTTAAGAATAGTTCAGTATTGCGTTTCTTCAGCATTTCTCCCTCCTTTGTGCTTTTGCCATACCAGCAATGATGATACAGGAGACAAAGGGAATAGGGTGAGCAGGGAACGTATTTGTATGCAAGCTGACAGATAAAACCATGTTAATGTTTAACTGCTAGTGGCTGTAACGAGCCCATAAAGCTGATGAGAGGACTGCCAAAGCTAGCCAAAGCTTCTCACCTCCCCATAAATAAGACCTACTGGCTATAGAGTTATTTTTGACGAAGCATGGGAAAAGCCTTGCAAGCAACACGTTGTAAAGGTGATTAAACTGATAGGTTGTGGTGCCTAGGCTCAGTATCAGCCATTAACACTGGTTAATTTCTTTTTTTAAGGAAAACTGCCAGTAAATATGTTTTTTTCCATGAGATTTTCTGTGTTTTAACAGTTTGATCACAGCCAAGCACTGGTGTGAGGAATCATACTATGGGTCTCCTACCCTGCCAGATGCCACCACAGCTGGAAACTTCAGAAGAACCACAATGAGCCCAGCAACAGGCAGGTACCTGAGACCCACTGGTTTGGGTCCCACTACATCTTTTTACACCAAGATCAGAAGGTGCCTGTATGAGCTGTTCTGTCCGGTGGGTCAGATCAGGAATGGCTACAGAGGTCTATGGCAGGGTCTGCAGCAAGGATGTCTCTGAGCACAGGCCTCCATTTCCAGCTCTGCTGCCTTGATGTGGACTGTTTGGGAAGCTGGCATGAACCCCATCTGGGGATCAAAAACACCATGTAGGCAACAGTGCGACCAGTGTCAGGTTTGCTTTTCCACTCACACACAACCCTGCATGTGGTCAGACAGCATCTGCCAATCCGTTTTGTGACAAGGTATTTATGAAATCACTTGCTATTCTTTCCTAACTGTCAGCAGTTAAAGGGAGAATTAGGCTGTGATGCAAAGGTCTGTTAGTTTTCCCTTCAAGGCCTTAAAACTCGTATCATTTATATCAGCTCAAATAGCTGCTCATAGTGTTTCTATCCACACAGATGTCCAAGCCTTTTCTGAATTATTTTAAACTCCAGTCCCACACGTTTACAACCTTTTACTTCTGTATTGTACTAAAAGAATATCCACAACACAACAAAAGACCTGAAAACTGGACACAAACCCCATCAATCCATTACTCCGCATCTTGCCTTATGTTCTCCCTAACTGACCCTTCCTGGCACATCCCAGCTAGGTGAATATTAGGACTAGGTTACCTGCAGCAGCTGCTCTTTTGCAGCCTTCCATCAAGTTTTCTGCTTTCTCTCAATTTAACACTCCTGTCCTTTCAAACAGTAAAAACTTTCTGCAAGCACCAGTGAACGTCACAAGGGGATGGAGAAAATGGCAGTCTACAAAAAATGTGCCAAAGAGAGGAAGAAGGTACGACTACGTAGAAAGAGTGACCTGAGCATGATGTAACTCAGCAGCACACCCAGCTCATTGCTACATGCATGGTTCTGCTCTTGATCCCCGTGGTGTGAACTGCTGTAGTTCCACTGAAGCCAAAGTTGTTGCAGTGATTTATATCCCCAGCACAGCTACCTCAAACCTTGTCATTAGCATGAAAGACACATTCACCTGTTCATCTTTGCAGCAGTAAAACCTGCATCTTTTGTACTATCTATCATTGTGTAAGAGTTGTTTGGGTTTTATTTTCCAACCTAAAATGAAGGCATAAAGGGGATACAGCATAAATCCATTAGTGGAGTAAATATCGAAGATTATCAATGTAAATCAGAGAAAGCTTTGGCGCAAAAATGAATGTGAATTAAGTGGCCATAAATAAAAGCAGAGGAAATATTTTAGTCACCAAGTCATTGAGTTTCTGGAAAAGCCTGCCCTGGGAAAAAGAGAGAGAGCAGGGAACAACAGAGAGCATCAATAATGTCAATTAAACACTTAATTAATGGGATACATGGAAGGGAGCCAGTAAGAAATAGGATATAGTCATCTGGAGAGTAACTTCCACTCCTGTATGCCCATAAGGGAGAAACCTTTAAAAAATCCCCACATGTATTTTCCTCTGATTTCAGCTAGCGAGTAAAACTAGCTAAAGAGGAGTGAGGAATGGTCAGTTAGACAAGCAATCCTCTATATTTTTCATCTGTTGCTTCTATAGGTCATAGTAGTGTTGCTGGAATTGAAGTTATGTACAGGTAGGATCTCCGAATGCTGGAGCTGATGGGTATGGGAGCATGGAAAGGTGAATGTTCAAAAGAGGAAGCACCCACTAACATCTAGAGAAAAACTTCCACTACTTCAGATGCTTAAATTGGGATTTAGCCTTTCCTCATGACCTGTAATTTCTGTGTCACACACTTACATCACTGAAATGAGTGTGTTCATTAGTATATTTGTATTTCTTCTACAACTCTGTATGAGATGAATATGCTCTCATTCTTTCTACCTATGTGTAGACCTGACAACTGTACTACCCACAGCAGCTTGTTCTGCGGATTCTACATGGGAGAACAATCACTGTGGTTTTGTTCATAAATAGCCAGAACTATTCAAAGACAGTAGTCACTGCTGAATGACTCAGACTTGAAATAAAAGGAAAAAGGCCCATGGTTTCTCCTCATGACAAACTTAAAGCTTTGTTTCCCTACTGTCAAGACAAAATCTGTATTTCAGTTATACACATACAAAAGTTAAAGTTTATCAAGGCGCCTGGGGAATTTGATAAAGCACTTTTCAGTCAAAATTCTGGGGAAAGTGACAATCCTACCGCAACTCTAACCACATATTCCACTTCAAAGAGGGTTTAAACTATGATGGTTTGTGTAGCACTAAATACATCTCATCTCTTAAAGTCCAAATCTTAAATCTCAAATCTTAAAGTTCAAATTCAAAGCAATACCTCTTGGCAGTTGTTGAGCCCAGAACCTGTCAAATACTAGTGAATTTCAGAGACTTTAAACACTCATTAGCTTACTGGGAGTTATGCTTATTAGACCACTGGCCTAATTTCATCTCGTCATCTCTACCCAAACAGTTAAGCACTTAATCTTCTACACTCAAATGTAGAAATCATGATCAGGCTTCTTAAATGAGTTGGGAATAGAAGGCTTCTTGCAGAAGTAAGGCTTCTTCTATATGCTGGGAACAAAAGACTGGCTATGTGTGCTCAGGTGGACGGGCATACAAAAGTTAAGTTGATGTACTGCTGAGTGTACATGCCATTGTCCAGCAAAGAGCACCATGGTGGCTTATTTAAGCTACGGCCATTAAACTCAATTAACTTTAAAAGGAGTTCACTGGACTTCACTGGGGTTTTAATGCAGAGGAGAGATTGTTAGTCACATTAAGATCACAAGCTAAAAGATGTGAAAATATTTTTGAGGAATAGTTTATTCTAAAGATGGATTCAATTATCACTGAATTTTGATGGCAACGCCATGGGAGCAGATGTGGCAACCATATTTGTGCAAATGGCATTCTTGATGAGGCTGGCTAATGAAATAAGGTTATACCATACATCAGTACGTTGTATTTTTAGGGTTTGAATCATCTCACATCAAGTGTTAATGCATACCATCGCTATAGCACTGCCATTGCTAAAGGAAAGAGAATTTGAATGTTTAAGACAATGTGCATGAAGTATAACAGAGGGCAGGGCCATAGAAAAGACAGATGAGAAAGATCTTCTTCTCAAAGCTCTCAAGAGGAATTTCCACCTAAGCCCTTTTTAATAGACATATAAAAGGCCCAGCTCCTTTTCTCCTCACTTAGTTTCAACCTGAGGAAGGCTCAAGGATCTTGTGTGTGAGACTACTCCATGGAGGTTCTTACCTTCAGCTTTTGTGAGGACTTTGCACAGGCCTAGGCGTGAAAATGTGGAGAGAGAACGTGCAACTACTAGTGAGGAGAGAGCCTTATCCTGCCTCATCACCAAAAGTGCTCAGCATGCGCAGACAGAAACACATCTGTATTGTTCAAAATAGCTATAGTACTTGCAAAGAGTAAAAGACCTTACAAGTATCTGAGGCTCGGAAGGTATTGGAAGGCATCCTGATCAATGTACACGAGGTTGTTGGCTTTCTCAATTCTTCTGTGGAGAAAAAATGAAACACCGGAGAAGATACATCAGTATATTGATCTTAAAATATTTGTGGTAGCCCCATGATGTAGCGGTACTATACGCTGAGATTTTCTTTTTGACAGCAGATGATGTGCACGGTTTCAGAGCAGCCTTCCACAGATCAGCAGACCCCACCACTTTTTGATATTGGCAGTGGTTTGAGGATAACCTTCAGGATCGCCAGGGAAAGAAAGGAACAGTTAGACACGAAGACAGAAAAGACAAAAAAGACAAAGGGGGGTTTCAAATGTTCCTGTATCTCTATGAATTCTTCAGAGCTTACCTGAACCAAGCTGCAAAATCTTTGCTACTTGCCTATAATGAATCTTTATAATTGTCTCCTTTGAATTTAGATTGCTCATTACTTACATTTCATGTAGTTGGGGAAGGTCGGAAAACACATTTCCCTCTATGACCTCCAAGGCATCATTCTGTGAGATCTCTCTGAAAAATAATTAAAAATCAAAATATTTCAAGGCATGATGAAACAGAGAATGGGCAAGTGAAAAACTCACAAGGAACTTCTTCCCAGGTTACTTGTAAGTTTTAAAACCAAGTTGGATATCAGATAAGAAAACAGACCCCAGAAACACCGGTGAGCTGCCACTAAGAAAAACACCAACAGTCAAAAGACATCTTCTGAGGCTGAAGTTTGTAACAGCAGCCCTGCACCTCCTGCTGTCACAATTCTTTGTGTGTTAGAAGTCACGTTATATGCATCATGGGCTACTGGATCACTGGCATCACTAATTACTGATAGAGTTTTAATGAAATCTTTTCACTTGGTGAAGAAAGAGGGGGTGAAATAAAGACCACTAAAAAGTACCCAAGGAATATGACAAAACTTCAGCAGTAGGATATGCTGCTGTTTTGACCCAAAGTAAACCATAGATATTAACAATTAAGCCACCAGCAGACACATCCTTATTAACAGGAGCTGGAGACCACAAACATGATGAAATCTTCCATACCTTGAAGAAAACCCTGTTTGATCTCATCTGTATACAGTTAATGCCCACCTACAGGCACAGATCTGCAGAACAGAAATTGCCAGTTTTGTGTTATCAACACACCAGAATGCATCTCCTGCTAGCCCACAGTATACATTTCTTTGCTCCCTTAATTTGTGGGATGGCAAAAAGAGGGCTCAGGCTCTTGTGTGATTTAGAGCTCAGCAGTTCTCCTGGTCAATCAAGCAGGAGCTACTGCAGTGCAACCTGTCCCAGTTCCATCCCTTAATGCTGGCAGTGACCAGGAAAGCCAACATAAAGCCAGCTATGCCAAAAGTTTCTCTACTGTGATTTGTGGGAAATGGTGTCATTTTCCCAGGCTGTGGTCAGCTGTAGGAAGCAAAATTTGTAATACAGGTATCATTTGGTGGTAGTGTGACAGTCTGTTGGATTTTAACGGCACAAAGATGTGCACATCTTTGGAGCGAAACCTTGGATGAACGGATTGCAAACTGCTTCTGGATCTCTTGTTCTTCTGAAATTATTATGGCTGCAAATAGATTTGACCAGGCCTGAGGTAAAACAATAGATTGCAATGTTAGGTGCACAGTCAAAAAAATAACCACAAAAAACTATTGCAAGTAGTATAAAAAGCATTCCACTTCCTTCTGAGTAACAACTGAACCTGATAAATTACCTGCACACTTAACACTAAACAAAAGCCTTGTAAAAGAAGGTAAGGTGTTCTTCTGCTTTAAAAAATGCCTCAGTGGTTTGCTATTTTTAAGTTTACTACGAAGCTTTCCCTCCTGTTTCCCCAAGGATTTTTAGGGAAGAAATCAAGCTCTCCTCTTCACTGGGAGCTCTAAACTGACTGGAGAACAATAAAAGTACATGAGGACTGCCAGTAGGTTCTTGGTAGAGTGCGATGAGAACTGGGTCTGTTTAGCAGTGCTGAACGACCAGCTCACAGGTGAACATGTTCCTCTGTATTACTTAGGTTTCAGCAGCAACAAAATGCTTCGGCCAAGACTGGGATCCCTTCACTCCATGCAAGGCACACAGCCATTGCAAGGGATGTTTCAAAGACATTCTATTATTTTCCTGTTTTTTTTTAAATAATTATAATTTATATACATAATTAAAATAATTATATATAAAAGATAATTAACATATAAATATATGTAAAATATAATTTTACATATAATTACAATAATAATATTACAAGACACAGGGAAGAAGCAATCACCCCTGTACTGTATTTACATCTTGGTACAGTTTGCTTGCTTAATTATAGTCTAGATGATTCAACAACATGGGAAATATCTCATACTTTAAAGGTTTGAGTTGTTTTTTCTCGTGCTCTTTCTAGGGGGTGAACAGTATATTTGCCATTCCCCACAACCTAAAAATCAGGTGTCTACACAGAAAAGGTTTATTAAGAAACCACGTTACAGTAGTGACCTCACCAGACAGATAGGGCTGTTGAGGGTGACAATTCCTTATGATCCAAGCTGTTAGCTAACTTTGGAATGTGAATGATATACCTCTCTTAATGGAATTCTTAGAAGCCAGTGTTTTGGCTTACTAAGTGTGGGACAGGTTATGGGCTTTGTTTTGGTTCAAGAAATGGAAGAAAGTCGAGGCTGTTCAGCCTGGAGAAGAGAAGGCTGCGTGGAGACCTCATAGCAGCCTTCCAGTATCTGAAGGGGGCCTATAGGGATGCTGGGGAGGGACTCTTCATTAGGGACTGTAGTGATAGGACAAGAGGTAACGGGTTAAAACATAAACAGGGGAAGTTTAGATTGGATATAAGGAGGAAGTTCTTTACTGTAAGGGTGGTGAGGCACTGGAATGGGTTGCCCAAGGAAGTTGTGAATGCTCCATCCTTGGCGGTGTTCAAGGCCAGGTTGGACAGAGCCTTGGGTGGCATGGTTTAGTGTGAGGTGTCCCTGCCCATGGCAGGGGGGTTGGAACTTGATGATCTTATGGTCCTTTCCAACCCTAACTGTTCTATAATTCTATGATATAGATCTGATTAAAGCAGCGCATGAGCAGGCCTTCTGGAAGGCTCGGAGAACACATGGATAAGGAAGGGATGAAAGAGAGGTAGCAAGACAGGAGTATCTACATTGCCTTTACAAGATTCAGGTTTTAAAAGATTATTTCTTTTTAAAGATTACATTTTTAAAAGAATTAAATAATATTCATATAAGGGGGTTTTGCAGAGATTTGGGGAATGACCTGACTTTCATTCTCTATACCTGTTCAGGCTGTCATTTACGTAAGAAGGATAAACTAAAAATATCACATTCCACTTAAGAGATCAGTCACGCACTGTGAACAACACGCAGCACTCGTCTGGGGTTTGGTTGCATAATTTCCATGCACAATTTACTCATATCTAGCAAAAAATGCACACCCTGCTCATGGAAAACCCAAAGAACACTATCTTGGATATAGGTATCTCTGGCCTTAAAAGTACAAACCATTGCTGCTCACATCAAACAACCAGACTCAGATCCTCTGCAGAGAAGAGCAAATAATATCTGTAGCAGCAGCTACAAACAGAAAAGGGAGATTCCTGCCTAGTATTTGTGCAAGTGATTTGTCTTACAGTATAAATACACACAAACAGACGATTGCTGGTAATGCATATCTGATTATATGTCATCAAGAAAGAAGATGGGACTGTTATTATGTTGTTTGTTTGTAATGAATGATACCATTAGCTCTACTGTTAGCTATCGCAGCAAATCCAGAGAGCAATCTGAGTATCATTTCTGATGCATGAAAGCTTTTGAATAGATGGTATGCAAAACAATCAGGGGCAATTGCTTTAAAAAACCCCAAACCTCCAAAACCTCAAACCACCCACTGGTTCCAAAATGCACAAGCATCTGCCTAAGCTTAGTCTTCACTGCAAGAACACCTCTATTGAAATCAACAGTTGCCTTCGAAATCATAAACTGTTTACTCAAACACAGTCCAAAAGAGGAAAAAAAAAACCCAGTAAAGATGTCTTACAAAGGAACCCAGCACAGTAATTTTTATGTTCCTTCAAGGAGAATGTTAAGACTTCCAGGTGTGACAACATCAAATGAGTAAGGGAATTTGCCACCACTGTAGCAAACTGTAATCATTATTACCCATTCACAAGCAACTGACTGCAATGTAGCATTGGACTTGATGATCTTCAAGGTCTTTTCCAATCCAGTTGATTCTGTGATTTCCACTTGTGAATCCCAGAGCTAATGACAGTAGGGAGAGAAATGGAAAACAAAGAGGAGGAGGAAGGTGCTGCCTACTGGCAGCACAGCCTTAGCTTGGTTTAACCTGCCTGCAAAACTGCCCTTAGGCAGGGCTGGGAGTGCATTTCATGACATCCGTGACGAGAGCCCAGCATGAAGCATAGGGAGTATTCCTCTTCAAACCAGCTGCACTCATGCAGTGTGACCCATAAAAATCAAGATACACTGAAACAGCCTTTTAAATAATTCTGTTAGCAAGGAATTTATAGTTTGTGGCAGTTTCTTTGTAGCCCTCCAAAGAAAATATCCCTTAGACTAATCAAAGTCTTACAGCAACAGCAAGACTGTACCATTCACAAACTAATGGTCTTGCAGCCAAGTGGTCTCATAGTTCAAAACAATTAAAGAATAAAAGACTATATGTCTTTTTTATGATAAGAATTCCTTTCAGGATCAGAGCAGAGCACACAGACAGGGATAGGATCAATTTTCCCGTTAGGAACTGTTCCTATTTCAAACAAATGTGTACACATCTGTATACATTATATACAGATACAGAAGTTTAACATAGAAGAGTAAGTGGAAACTTGCATGCAAGGAGGAAAGGATACCTATAGCAGAAGATTAGCTTAGAGGCAGATCACAGCATCAGTCCCTTTCACAGAGCCCAGGGACATACACTCTTGAGCATGAAGACCTTGCAACACCAGCAGCAGGGATGACATAGAGTAACTGATGCCCAACTGATGAGCTTGGCTGGGTGACAACCACAGTAAATGTGGGATGTATGGATTTCTGTGTTTCATCTCTCTGTGGCAGACTAGCAGAGGGGGCTGTCCTGTGTGTCGAGGTGGCTTGGATACTTGCTTGGTGTGTTCACCTTGCCCACAGACGTGGCATGTGGTGTGAAGGGAGGTTTTTCCACCCTCTCTAGCCACTCTGCCCTCCTCTGTAGTGCTCCTCCAGCTTTTCTTGATGCCCTTCCAGAGCAGGTATATACATGGCTGTACACTTGATTCATTCACTTTACATTTCCTGTGATACATCATAACAAGGCATTTTGGCCTTTTATCCTCAAGCCTTTGAGGCAGTGTTTTTGTGGCATAAATATCCTGTGTATTCCTGTGAACAATATATTTTCACTCTACAGGTACCTGCAATTAGCAGCGATACTGGATGTATCAGCTACTCATTGCCAGAGCAGGTGGCCTCACTGGGCTCGCTGCACTGCAACAAATCAATA